TTCCCAAAGGATGAGAGTGATCAGTAGTATTAAGTGACAGAGAACACTAAGTCATTGTGTTCAGTTTCAAATTATGTTTTAAGGTGATTCAAAACACTGACTAGACTCAGGTATATATAATTCAAGAGATGTTCTAAACAGGCTTCATCGTAGTGTATGTGCAGGTATGGTCAAACTGCTGTCAAACCTTTGAGAATTTCCATGTTAAATTCATTGGATGTGTGTTGGAGGACAAAGGTAGTCTTGATGCCTCTTAGATGTTGAAGCATTTTGTCACAGCTCAGGGCCTACAGCCTCTTCCCAAAACATCTTCCAGTTTTCAGAGCCTTCAACTCCCTTTTGGCTGCATTCATATGTGACTTGTTAAATGAAGAGTTTAAATTTCGTGGATTGTATGCATAAAACAAACTTATTAATTGAGGAGTTTAAATTTGATGGACTGTGTGCAATGGCCACAAAGAACCTATATGGGGCGAGGGGTCATTCCCATCGTCCCAAGGGCACAATACAACTGTTTCTTCTCTCTGCTGTCACAATCAACAGATTGATTTTTCTGCAAGCATTTCCTGTGTATATACTATGTCAAATTTCTTCTGCAGATTGGGTAGAAAATCTCTGGACTTCCAAAAACTTTGTCTACTTAAAAATCCCAATAATGTATCAGATGGAAAAGTTTTACTCCCCTATCACTGGAAAGGCTGTGGCCCAAAAGATTTGAAGTGAATGGGTGGGGTGGGAGTAGTCTGTTCTTTTTATCTCTTTCCCCTTCTTTCACCTTGGAGGAACAGCCTATTGCCAGAACATCTCTTCCCTCTTCCTTTTTGACACCCTGGGTGTTAGGAAGAGAAGAGGGAATAAAAGAGCTGGTAGAAAATATATTATGTGACTGGTACCCAATATGTTTCCATCTGTTTTCAGCGGCTTGTGCCAATGTCATGCTCTCTACCCACAAGATGCGTGTATATTTTTCTTGGGATGATGTTAGCATCATAATTACATTACTAAGCACCCTGTCAGTAAGGGGATTCCTAATCTCCATTTATTTTTTGCCAATGGCCATGCCTTCACTGTCTCTACTAGTTATGCTATATAACAAATTACCACAATGTAATGGTTTAAAACAGGAAACATTTATTTGCAGTTTCTGAGATTCAGAAATTTAGGCATGGTACAACTGGATCCTCTGATGCAGGCTGTCTTACCAGTCTCAAACAAGGTATCAGCCAGGGTCTCTCAGGAGGCTTAAGCAAGTCTCATTTAAACTCTTGACTAGGAAAGGATTTACTTCTGAGTTCATGTGGTTGTGGGCAAAAGTCAGGTTCTTGACACCTATTGGACTGAGGACTACAGTTTCACCTGCAACTCCTTGCTGCAAGGGCCTCCCAACAGGGCTGCTTGCTTTATTAAAGCACGCAAGCCAAGAAAGCAATGGAGAGAGTTGGCTAGCAAGATGCAAATTATGATATTGATAATGAAATACTGGAGGTGACATTCCATCATCTTTACTATATTCTATTGGATAAAAGAGAGTAACACAGGAAGCTGAGGTCATTAGAGGCCATCTTAGACCCCAACCTGCAAGAGTCTCCTGTGGGTAAGCCTGGGCCACTCCTATCTGCCTACCCTGGTCTCTGTCTTCCTTCATGTCGTTCCTCATGTGGAGCTTCAAAAGAATTGAAGTCCTGTTCTGCATCCTGCAATGGCCACAGAGAACCTGTATGGGGTGAGGGGTCATTCCCATTTTCCCTGGGGCACTATACAACTGTTTCTTCTCTCTGCTGTCACAATCAATTCCAGCAAGTCTCCTACCTTCTCCAAATGACAGCCCAACACTAGAGTTGATATTCATGCACTTCTTGCAGATTCTAGAGAACCCAAGTAAAGCCTTGTCAAAAAGTAGCCCACCCCCTTCATCTGAGAGGAACTATAAGTTCTGCAAGTTAGGAAACATCCTTCAGAGCAAGTGAGGGCAGTCTTCATATTTTACAGGCACCCCTAAGCTTCATGAATGATTCAGTTAGACTAGCCTCATAGGGAATAGGAGGAAAAAACTACAGAACTTCCCACGAATCTGATGATACTTGACTTTAACCACTATATCTTGTCCCACGGTCTTCTTGTACAAGCACAGAAAGTGAAGGAAAGTTTGAGACTGTGACTGATGGTCAGAGGTTTTGTCATCTATTGTAAATGCTAGGGGGTTCAGGGTAAAGAGAATATAAGTTTTCCCTTGCTCGACTGGATATGGTGGTATGTAATACTCTTTGACCCCAGAAGTTGAGCCCTATTGCTAATTCTGAGAAAAGTCTCCCTAAGCATCCTCTCATATGTGCAAGTCTAAGAAGAACCCTAGGTTTTAGGCTATTAGAGCCTCCCCTACACCATTAACCTGTAATCCTGGACCCTTGTAACCAATCTCAGTACTGGTCCCATAGTCTCATCTCATCTACATCCTGTCATATCTTATATTTAGTTGACATTTTTTAAAAAGAGATCACTTTGTCCATTGTCCTAGTGAGATTTAGGTTTTGCACTCTTAGTTATTCCCTGTCTATTTTTTGTCTTTTCATTCTCCCAAAGGAAGACAATTTCATTCACATCCAAAGCTTCAATTATTCAATGACTGTGAAATCTGGGCCTCAAGCCCCAATCACATCTTCACTTGTACATTCCTATATTTAAATGCCCATTAGTAGAGCATGCATAGAAAAGCCAAGGCTCCTTAGAAATGCTGAGTCATTTCTCATCTTGCAGAGATGAAAAACTATAGATCCTTGTAATGTTACAATTAAAACTAAAATTAAATGTACAATTTACTACGGAACCCAAGTAAAGCCTTGTCAAAAAGTAGCCCACCCCCTTCATCTGAGAGGACCTATAAGTTCTGCAAGTTAAAAAACATCCTTCAGATGTTTTTCTAACATTGTTGTTTGGAAAAAAATTAAAAGTATACCATATTTACCAGAGTTGCATATATTATAGGTATTATACAATTAAAATCAGATAACATACATATGGCGGGATTTTAACTGAGAGTGGCTATATTTAAAAAAAAAAAAAAAAAAACTTGCTTGGAAATGTGTCCCAAGCTTGCACATTATAAATGAATTCTGCTTCTTTGTTTCATGAGAATTGAAATCAGACCTCTTAAACAATGCTTACAGAAAGTACTGCTTCTCTTGTTACGTGGGATAGTGACCCATGTTGGGGGTGAGAGTGCAACTGAGTCTACCAGAAACTGAGAAAAGGAGTTTTTCTTATTTTTTTGGGAAAAAAAAAGAGAGAAAAAAAGAAAAAAAAAGAAAGAAAGAGAGAACGAAAAGAAAAAGAATGAAAGAGAGAAAGAGAAAGAGGGAGAGAGAACGGGAGTCTTGCTTTATTGCCCAGGCTAGAATGCAGTCTAAAAATGGGCATTGAAAACCTCTTTTATGACAATAATTGTGCTTAATAATGGAAACATGAAGGAATAACAGAGGAAAATAACAAACAAGCATCCAGGACTTGAACTCAGACCCGGAACAAGTAAACTTAATAAACATTTATAGAACTCTCCACCCCAAATCTACAAAACATACATTCTTATCAGTACCACATCACACCTACTCTAAAAGTGACTACATAATTGGAAGTAAATCACTCCTCAGTAATTGCATAGCATTTCACAGGTTTAAATGAGAAGGAGTTCTTCCTATTGCATCTACCAGAAATGAATATCCATTTTAGTTAAAAAGAAGCTTGCATTAATTCAACATTTGGATGAGGTCCAAAGTCAGTTGCAGTAAATCTTGATAACTACTGTTTGTTTCAAGCTAGAGCCAAGCAGTTTGTTTATTTTAAACGCTTGCTCCATGGGTTACTCCCCTGGGAAAATGACCTTGTTTTCATCTCAGGCCCAAGGGAAGCTTCTTATGCTGTGGAATCTTATTCCAGAATGTGTCTGGAATGAAGAAAGCTGCAGCCTATACTCAGCTAGCATCATCGTCTCATTCACTTCACCAACAAAGCTTTCGACTTTTTAAAATAAAAGTAGGAGGACTGGGAAATTTTAACACTTCTCCTCATCCTCTAACACCCTCATCCCCACCATCCAAAATCACAGCTGAGAATTTTCAGTGCTATCTAGGTTACTTAGTTCTCTTTTACTTTTGGTGCCCCAAAGGTGATAGAAATAACAAATCCCCATACAGTCAAAGGAAGCCCAGATGATTCTATGGATGCTGGGTGAGTATGAAGCAACTTGACAAGTAGGCCTACTGCAAATAACATGGGCATCTAGAAGGAGCAGAAAGCAGGTTGGGGTTGATATGTAAATATGGAGCCTGGGGTCACTTTAGAATAATGCGACTTCTTTATCTCCTCCGCAACACAGAAAGAATTAGGAAGGCATTTGCAATATAGACATTGGTTACAGGAATCAGGCCTCTCCCGTACACACTTCTAATTTGTAAATATTCCCCAAGGTGATAGTACCTTATGATATCTCAATCATTAACACAATTCACTGAATTTGTTAATTTGATGATTGTTTTCCTTAGCTAAAGAAAGAAAACTGCAGAAGAGTTTTGTGGCTGGGAGGGAGATGCCACATGGACAGTTTTGGTGCAGCTGGTTTTACCCATTTAAAAATCTTAGGACAAGGGTGATATGAACATGGCTGTAAGCCATGATCTTACTATCCTTGGAAATCCTTGTATCTGGAGAGCAAAGGAGAGGAAAAAGAAGATACGGTAAGAAAATTTAAAAAGGATAAAAGTAAATGAGAAAACAAGACAGATAAAATTAGGTTGGGGCACACATGGCATGCCGTCCAGCTGACACATTACAAATAGTCACTTAATTTCTAGGAGCCAGCCTTCCACGGCTAGTCTCTGCAAATACAGTCTTGTCCTCCATCTAAGGTCATGTAAAAATTGCTTTGACCAGGATGCTTTCTGAAGATACATTAAGATAGCAACAGCTTGTCTGGAAGCATTAATAGAATAGGCTGCTTAGTAAAGATCTCAAAATGACTCGATGTGTTTGTCAGGTGAAACAGCCTAGGCTAGAAAATGGTAATCTGTGCAGAACAGAATCTGTCAGGGACATCAGACCAGCACTGCTGCTTCTGCTATTGTTAGTTATAGGGCAGAAGTTTAAAAAAGAGAAATGAAGAATGAGAGACAACCCCATAAACCCTATGCTCAGATTCATAGACTAACCTCACTATTAATTCTTCAGATGTCTCAGACACAATGTCTAAAAAAAGAATGAAACAAACAAAACCCACAGATCTAAATGGAAAAATAATTTGCTAGTGCTCCATTCTTTTGGAAAATTTACTTGAGGCATTTTGACTGAAATAATAATTCAATGGGGGAAGAGAAAAGTGCAAGTCCCATCTTCTCATAACCAAAAAAGACAAGTTTGCTTACCCACAGAAAAACTGCAGTGCCTCCTTAACTTGGCAGGTCAAATTTTCAAAAGTGAAGGTTGTCGTATCTCATGTTCTGTACTCACAGCACTCAGTGTTTATTAGTGGTAAGGTATTAATAAAAACAGCATACTAGAAAATAGCTTCCTTAGAGAGCTACCCAATTTTTTTCAGGGTCTGTAGAAACTATTTAGTGCCCTACAATTCGCCAACTAGTAGCTGAGAAACCAAATAAGCTTTGGCAAGAATCTAAGAACCAGGAATCTCTTGTTTAGGCCATGATTGCATCTTCTTATAAAGTAATAGTAGAAGACAGCTGACTTGCTTGTTCTCAATGCTTGGATCATAAAATTCAATGCTTGGATCCTAAAATCCCAATTAAGAAATATGTTGGCATGGGCACAGGAGTCTTTGGTAAGGCTTTCCTTTTTAATGAAAAGCAGCCCCAAATCATTTTCTAACAAAGAGCAGCCTGCAAGCTGGGAGCTTGCACAGGTGAATACTGATAGGAACTAAGGACTAGACGTTTAAAAAAAGGCAGATCCATCTTCCCTTCTCTGCCAGCCACGTGTACTGTAAGGAGCAGACAAGATGCTGCCCCATCAACTGGAAAGTCCATTTGCATAAGGTGTTTGGGGTGGGGTGCGAAGCCTTCCTCGTGCAATATGTAAACATCAAATCTGATGTAACCAATCTGTGAACCCTATGTAATCAGACACTGCCTCCTCAAACTGGACTACAAAATCCAGCACATCCACAGCCAGTCCTTTCCTTTCGGCGACCCCTTTCTTTGTAGAGGAACCTGTTTTTCTTTCTCTTCTCTCCTACCTATTAAACCTCCACTCCTAAACAAAAAAAAAAAAAAAAAAAAAAGAAATATGTTGGCATTTAAGAAATTGGTTAAAAACGTATTTTGCAGCTATCACTTTAATGAAAATAATGTTTTCCCAAATGGGTGGAAGGAATAGCTTGATAGAGAAGATATTGGCTGAGCTTAAAAAAATCACAGAAAAAGTCACATAATGCTTTTTACAAGATTACGAATTTGTCTTGGGCCACATCCAAAGTCATCCTGGGCTGCATGCAGTCTTCAGGCTGCAAGTTGGATAAGCTTGGTATAAAATACAGAAAACAATTAACAAAATGACAATATCAAGTCTTTCCTTGTCAGTAAGTACTTTAAATGTAAATGAATTAAACTCTACAATCAGAAGACATAGATTGGCTGAATGGGTTTTTTAAAATCATGATCCAACTGCATGTTCTCTGTAAGAGATTCACTTTAGATGTACAAATACACACAGGCTGAAGCTGAAAAAATGGAAAAAGATGTTGCATGCAAATGGTAATCAAAAGAAAGCAGAGGTTGCTATGCTAATATCAGACAAAATAAGCTTTAAGTCAAAAAATGTTCCACAAAAAAGTGGCATTATATATTAATAAAAGGCTTAATTTATGAAGAGGGTATAATATTTATAAATATTTGTGCACCAAGCCTCAGAGATCCTAAATAAGTGAAGAAAATTTTGACAGAATTGAGGAAACAAATATCAACACAGTAATTGTAGGAGACTTTAAGTACCTCATTTTCAATAATAGATAGAACAACCAGACTGAAGATCAATAAGAAAATAGAGGACTCAGAAACTACTGTAGACTAATTGGATCTAACAAACATATACAGAGCACTTCTCCCAACAATAGCAGAATATACATTTTTCTCAAGTGTACATGGAACATTTTTCAGGATACAACAAGTTAGGCAATAAAACAAGTCTAACAAATTCAAGAAGATTAAAGTTATACAAAGCGTCTTTTCCATTCACAATGGAATAAAACTAGAAATCAATAGCAAAATGAAAAAATGTACAAATATATGTAAATTAAACAACAAATTCTTAAGTAACAATAGGTCACAGAAGAAGTCACAAGGAAAATTACAAAATACCTTGAGACAAATTAAAATGAAAACACAACATAGCAAATCTTATGCGATGCAATGAAAGCAGTGCTAAAAGAAAAATTTATAGACGTAAATTTGTACACTAAAAAAGAAGAAAGATTTTTAATCAACAATCTAACTTACGAAACTAGAAAAACAAGAACAAACTAAACCCCAAGTTCTAATAAAACTTAGAGCAGAGATAAATGAAATAGGAATTAGAAAAACAATAGAAAGAAATCAACTAAGCCAAGAATTGGTTCTTGGAAGAGATCAGGAGAATTGACAAATCCTTAGCTAGATTAGCTAAGAAAAAAAAAGAGAAGATTCAAATAAATCAGAAATGAAAGAGCACACATGACAACCAAGTCACAGAAATAAGAAGAATGAAAGAGAATATTATGAGCAATTTTATGTCAACAATTCAGATAACTTAGGAGAAATGGATAAATTCCTAGAAACACACAACTTATCATGACTGAATCATGAAGTAAAAGAATACCTGAACAGACCAATAATTAGAAAAGAGATTGAATTAAAAACCAAAAACCTCCCAACAAAGAAAAGTATATGATCAGATGTTTTTACAGGAAAATTCTATGAAATACTAAAAGAACTAACAAAAATCTTCCTGAAACTCTTTTTAAAAATTAGAGAAGGGGGGCCGGGCGCGGTGGCTCAAGCCTGTAATCCCAGCACTTTGGGAGGCCGAGGCGGGTGGATCACGAGGTCAAGAGATCGAGACCATCCTGGTCAACATGGTGAAACCCCGTCTCTACTAAAAATACAAAAAATTAGCTGGGCATGGTGGCGCGTGCCTGTAATCCCAGCTACTCAGGAGGCTGAGGCAGGAGAATTGCCTGAACCCAGGAGGCGGAGGTTGCGGTGAGCCGAGATCGCGCCATTGCACTCCAGCCTGGGTAACAAGAGCGAAACTCCGTCCCAAAAAAAAAAAAAAAAAAAAAAAAAAAAAAAAAAATTAGAGAAGGGAACATATTCATATTCATTCTATAAAATCAGCATTACCCTGATACCAAAGCCAGACAAAAAAACCACAGGGAAAGTATAAACCAATATCTCTGATTAATATTAATGAGAACATCCTCAACAAAATACTAGAAAGCTGAATTTAATAGCACATTAAAATTTATTTGTGGAATGCAAGAATGACCAAGTGGAATTTATTTGTAGAATGCAAGAATGTTTTGACATGTAAAAATCAATCAAATTAATATACTGCATTAACAGAATGAAGACCAAAAGCCACATGATCACTGATGTGGAAAAGTCATTTGACAGCATTTAATACCATTTAATAATAAAAGTATTCAACAAACAAGAAATAGAAGGAAACTACCTCAACATAATAGAGGCCTTATATGAAAAGCCCACAACTAACATCATATTCAGTAGTGGAAAACCGAAAACTTTTTCTTTAAGATTGAAAGCAAGGTAAGGATCCCAGCACTTGCCACTTCTATTTAATATAGTATTGAAAGTCCTAGTCAGATCAATTAGGCAAGAAAAAAAAAAGGCATCCAAATTGGAAAGGAAGAAATAAAATTATTTACATTTACAGATGGCTTTATCTTATATGTAGAAAACCTAAAAATTATGCAAAAATAAAAACTATTAAAACTAATAAATGAATTGAGCACATTTGCTTGGTATAAAATTAACACACAAAATGAGTTGTATTTCTGTATATTAACAATGAGTAAACCAAAAACAAAATTAAGAAAACAATTCCACTTGTAATAGCATCAAAAAGAAGAAAATACTTTGGAATAAACCTAACCAAGAGAAGAAAGACCTGTAAAAAACTAGAAAACATTGCTGAGAACTAGAAAACGTTGCTGAAAAAAGTTAAAGATGACACAAATAAATTGAACAATATTTGGTGTTTATGGATTGGAAGGCAATATTTTAAAATGTCCATACTACCAAAAGTGATGTACAGGTTCAATGGGATCCCTATTATTAATAAAATCCCAGGACATTTTATTGCAGAAATAGAAATATTTATACTAGAATTTATTATAGAATTAGAAAAATTCATACTAAAATTTCAAAGGACAGCAAATAACTAGAACAATTTTGAAAAAGAACAAAGTTGTAGAACTCACACTTACCAATTTCAAAACATATTATAAAGCTACAGTAATCAAAGTGTGATGTTGACATAACAAATATAAACCAGTGGAATAGAATAGAGGACCCAGAAATAAACTCTCATTTAGATCATCAAACAATGTTCAACAAGGGTGTCAAAACCACTCAATGAGGAAAAACACTACCATTTTACAAATAGTGCTAGGAAAACTAGACATTCACATGCAAAAGAATGGTGCACTGTGTCTTCTACTATGTACAATAATTAACCCAAACTGAATAAAAAATTAAAAATGTAAAACTCCCAAACTCTAAAGCTCCTAGAAGAAAATATATGGGAAAATCTTTATGACATTGGACTCTGCAATGTTTTCTTAGATATAAAACCTAAAGAACAGGCAACAAAAGCAAAAATAGACAAATGGGACTACCTCAAACTTCAAACCTTTTGTACAACAAAGGACAATCAACAGAGTGAAAGAGCAAGCACAGAGGGGCGCGGTGGCTCATGCCTGTAATCCCGGCAATTTGGGAGGCCAAGGGCAGATCAC